CTGTACCTTAATAGGCATCTCTTTCCTTATGTTTGGTAAATTTTCTTTGATGATTTTGTTGAAAATGTTTTCTGTGCCTTTGACTTGGGTCTCTTCTCCTTCTATATGTATGTTTTATAGGTTTAGATTTTAATAGTATCCCAGAAGTCCCGAATGTTCTGTTCCTGAGATTTTTTTTGTTTGATTATTGTTATAGATTAAGCATTTTTGTTTGTTTGTTTGTTCTTTTAGTCTTTGGAGATAAGATTTCTCAGTATTCCTGGCTTTTCTGGAACTCGCTCTGTAGACCAAGGTGGCCTTGAATTCAGAGTTGTGCCTGCCTCTGCCTTCTGAGTACTAGGGTTTAAAGAGCACTTCATGCATGTTATACACAGATGTATATGCAGCTAAATCACTCATATACATAAGATTAAAAATGAAGGGGATAAAAGATCTTTAGCCTAATTTTTAATTAGGTTGGTTGTTTTCTTTAGTTGAGTTTTAAGAGATCTTTGTGTATTTTGGGTAATGCCCCCTTATTATATATGTTTTACAAATATTTTCATCTAGTTGGTGGTTTGTCTCTTTATTCTCTTAATTGACATTGAGCCCTCCCCACCCCCCAGTTGACCCTAGTTTCTTATTGGAAGAACAGAAAAATTAAACTAACTTGGGTTTTAATTAATTCTAGATATAGTTGACAATCAAGAATAGCCACCACATGTCTAGATTTGAATTTTGCTGTGGCCATCTAGTTGTTTTAACATTTTTGTGCTAAAAAGACTGTCATTGCATTTTTGTCAAAATCAGCCTGTATTCACGTTGATCTTTCTCTGGGGTCTTTTGTCAGAACCACAGTGTTTTACTTTAGTTTTATAACAACTCTAAGTTGTAATTATATTCATTCTCTACCCGATATCTCTTTGACATTTAGTTTACTGTTCTGAATCTTTGTTTCTACATATAAGCTTTAGTCACTTTGTCTGTTTCGCATAATCCACTGTGGTTTTTACCGGATTGAACTAAGCTGACAAAGGTGGGAAAGACTGCAGTTTTGACACTATTGAGTCTTCCTGTCCATGAACATAGGCTCGCTCTTCATTTGAGTGAAAATCTCTTATAATTGTGATTTTGTAATGAATGTTAATTTAGGACTGCTTTGTGTGAGATCACCACAGCTGCTGCTTTACGGTGCTGTTCTGTGTTTATCTTGTTTAAAAGGATGAAACCATGTGCAAGTTGGTCCAGAAGGCTCAAAGTTAAGATTTTTGTTGTTGTTTGCTTGTTTGTTTTTAGATGTAGGGTTTCTCTGTGTAACAGCCCTGGCTGTCCTGGAACTCACTTTGTAGATCAGGCTAGCCTCGAACTTCACAGAGATCCGCCTGCGTCTGCCTGCCATGTGCTGAAATTAAAGGTGTGCGCCACCACCACCTGGCAAAGTTAAAATTTTTTTTTTTTTAATGGAATTGGAATAGAGGATTATTCACCAGTTAGAAAGGATTCTTAAAAATTAGAGTTGAAAACTGAACAAAGCAATCCAACTCTAGGGGCAGTAGAGCCCCTGACTGGGATCTGGAGGGCCATTTATGCAGGACAAACACTCACATGATACTCAGTTGGAGCCAGTGAGCCTATCTGTGGCTCAAGTAGAGGAATGGACAGAGTCTCCTGGATAAAAGTTCCTTCTCCTGAAAATCTAACCCCCAATAAGACCACACGGGAGCATGTGGGTCAGTTTGAAGGCTATGAAGGAAATGTTTTACTTTTAAACTGTTGACTATTTACTAAGGTGGTTAATGCAGTTAGACTTTGCTACTGTGTACTTTAAGAAGAAAGTCAACTCAGTTCTGTGAACTTCTGTGGCCTAATAACCTGCTGCAGAGATGACAGAATAACAATTGCATTTTGGAGACCCCTGAGTGAGAACGTCTCTGCCAGATGTACTGTTGACCGAAGGATATCGGGACTACAAGCTAGGAATGTTATTTTCATGGAATGGAGCAACAGTCTCAGCATATGTCAGCATATTTTTGCTAGAATCTTGTTTGTGGGGATAACATTTTAGATGTTGAGTGGTGCAGCCCATTCTGAAGATGAAAGGGAAGCCCTTCTGGTTAGTGCCCTTTACTTCTACTCACACATCATCGAAGGACCTGAACAGGTTTAAACACAGATGTGTTGCGTTCATCTCCATGGCTCCTACATCTCTGCCATCAGCTGTCCTTTCTACTGAACCACCTGCCAGTGGAGAGAATTCTCTTTAAGGAGAAAACTCCCATGCTTGGTGGGGCTCAGTTTTATCTCTAGTGGGGCAGGTATTTTTTGGCTGGTCTGTTGGGTTCAGAATAAAGTTGTTCCTATTGTACTTTAGTTGCTTCCTTTGCTATAGAATATGCTGAGTTGGGCATGTTTTCTTAGGAAACACATTTGCCCACACACTGTTGGACTGAAATACCAAGCCTGTTGTATACACTTTCATAATCAGCTTGAAGGTAGAATGTGTTTGTAATTCAAGGTTATGGAAGTATGTCAAGGTTTATGTTGCATCATCATTGCTTACTAGTGAGTTGATGGACTGTAATCCCATGGCATACAAGTACTTCCAATATTGAGTACCCCTGTATGTGGGCTACCAGTGCCCTTGCTGTGAGAGTCTAGGAGGATATCTGAGCAGTATCGATAAGTGGGCATTAGTTCATTTGTTTCTTTCTGTGGAATTTTAGTAGTCCTTTTAAAGGATGATTCTGTGGCAGGATGCTTTTATAACTTGCTTAGAAGTGTGTGCCAGTTCTGAGTGGACTTGTGTGGATAATTAAAAGCAATTCACTCACAAGTACTCCTCCTCCTTTATAATCCTGACATTGTTCTTCTGTCTTCCTGTTCCATGTTGCTGGCATGTGGTGTTGCAGGGACAGAAGGGCCATATGTCCTTCCTGCTCATGGTCAGAGCTGAGGTATCACATACTCTCTGGGCACTTGTCTAATTACACATACATACAGACCCATGACTCACAAGTCTTTTTCCACTGCCCTTCTCTTGTTGAAACTCTCCTCTCTCTACTCCGTCCCTTTAACTGCCCTTACTTGATGGCTAGTGTATTCATGCTTTGCTCAGGTAACACAGTGAACTAGTTGTAGGTCCAGTGGTCTTTGTGGCATTGGAGCAGTTGTGCCTGGGTTATCTGTGAGGCAGGCTGCCCTGTGCAGGCCCTGCCTGGCGTCTGAGCTGTTGAAGGTGATAGAGAAGGGGGTGGCATTGCTGTGAGCATAACCTAACTCTTCTACCTCCCACTCAGCAGGCAGTGATTCTCTTTTGAGGTGGAGGTGGTAACATGTGCCACTTTCCCTCTGTCTCAGCTCTAGCTCCTGAGCTGGCATTATATCTCCCCTGGGGGCCTGGAGTGGGGCAGGGGACTCTGCGTCAGTAGTGCTAGACCAGTGAGGTGAGCTGCAGGAGGGTCCCAGTTATCCGAACTCCTAAAGAGCTGGTCTGGGTTGACTCCTTTTTCACCTTTGAAGTTGAGAGAGCTTGGGCTTCTGATATTCACAAGGCAGGGCAGGTACCCATTGCTCCCATGTGATATCCTTGCACCCTCTGCTCTGTCTGTACCCATGAGGTGTTTGCTCTAGGTAGGCTGAATACATGTAGATGCCCCCTCAGGGGACAGCAAGAGCTTTGAACTCAGGAACATGGTGAGTAATCAGGTAGATGGTAATGTGAGTCTTGGAAAAAAGTCTTCTTAGTTGGGCAGGGCGATGCAGGCAGATGTTCCCCAGACACTAAAGAGGTGTCCAACACACACAGTGTTAGGAACTGAAGAAATCTTCTAAGCCAAAGAAAGAGATGATTCCAAAGACTTCCCGATGGGGGGGTTCTTCAGGAGGTTGACTTAAAATACGCAGGTGGCTAGATAAAATTCCTGAGCCCATGGGCAAGGGAGAAAATATTAAGTCTTTTCTAGGTTTTTGCTGCTATTACAGAGGCTGCTGAGCATATGAGAGGTGATGGGTAGCCAGTGCCAGAGTGTATGTTAAATTAGTAGTGACTCTCAGTGACAGCTGATATGAGCTGGATACATTTGGTTAAAGAGATATTTTGAAGAGGCTCTTGCCTATTTCTGTCTGTTAATGTTACTATCTGAAATCTAAAATGTCAATCTTCCCTTGACTCTAGACATGTGGTCAGTATGCCAGGCCAGGAACACTGGCCATCAGTTCTCACTTTCAGTGCTGGCCGCAGAGGACAATCACATGGCTTCTTCAGGCCCAGAATGCTAATTTGTCTGTGGAGTTTGGGTGTCTGAGAGTAGGATCATCTTGGGAGAGGGCATTCGGGGGCAGACTCTGACCAAACAACATGTGGCAGTGCCAAGGAGGAGTGTTCGTTGAAAGGGAGAAAAGGGAATGCAACAGAACCTTGTGCTTTGTAACTGATGTGCTTAAATCTGCAGTGTCACACTGCAGTGATTTATACAGGAGCTGTCCAGCCATGGTTCTTGAGTAGACACCCTGAAAGGGGGGGAGAGACTGCCTCCATCAGTGTTCTATCAGTGGGCCTGGGTATTCAGGCAGGCAGGCCTCAGGCAGCTGGAGGTAGAAGGAATGGCCATAGTAGCAGAGTGCAGTGGTGTAGGTAGATGGTTTTCATTTTCCTTGTTTTCTCATATGCAGTAAAGAGTCAGGACTGAATACTGGGTAAGACAAGCCACATTGTGCTCTGTGTACTGGATCTAATGAGGGGGTAGAATTCAGAAGAGTAGTGCTAAGAAAAGTATTCTCCAGCTGGATGTTGCCAGGTGAGCAGGCATTACTGAGTCAATGCCAAGGCCCCAGTCTATTACCAGGGCCCCAGGCTATGGGCTCTGCAGTAGGTGCTGAGGCTTGGCTGGGACTGTATTCAGCTCTGTGTAGGTCAGAGGCTTCTAGATCACAGGCTGTTTTCATGTGTGAATGCTTACATAGCATTTCTAAACTCTGCTCATTTGGGGGAACTGAATCTGTGTCTTTCTTTTGTTTTCCAGGTTCCTGTATGAATCTTCAATGAGAACTTTGGGAGAATTTCTGAATTCATGACAAAACCACCATCTTTGGGTGTGTAGAAATAGAGACTCATAGGGTGAAATGTGTGCGTATCTTTCTTGCTTTCTCTTCTTTTGTCAGACTAAGCCTGGAGGCCTGAGTCTGTAGCTACCCAAAGATGAAGGCCAGTACAGCACTGGTGCTCTACCATACACACTGTGCCTTTAACCAGCTGGCAGAGATGGAGAGTGGTAAAGATAAGTGGGAGGAAGACTGGCAAGCAGCTTGCACTCTTCCCTAGAAGCCCTGGCAATTCGTTTGGGAACTGTGGCCTTGGCCAGCTCTTGAGCTCGTTGGCCTATGACTTACCCACTATTTATTATTTGTTGTGAAATTTTCGCTGGAACAGATTTTTCTTGGGTCTTTCAGCAGGGCTGCCATTAGCCCACACAGGACCTCTGTTCAGATGATGAAAAGAATCGCTTCGCCAAGACATTCTACTGCCATCTGTTGTACAGTTGTAATAAATACACCAATGCACAGCACTGATACAAAGTGTCTGCTTACTCCATTGCACTTGTGTTGTGCTCAACTTTTACATCTGAACCCAGCAGCCCTGCTCCAGAGGCAGTGCCCTCCTTCCATTGAAGGTCATTATCGGATCAGAGAAGACTTCTTGTTTGAGTGTTGCTGTGTACCATACACAGTTAGGGAGAGAGCAAAAATCAAGCTCAAAAATGCCTGCCAAAGGAAGTGAATTGAGGAAGGCCTATGCTAGGAGTGAGTTGCTACGTAGAAACGATTGTCATATCTTAAGGCCATGGTAGAGTGTTGCTCAGTGGACGCATATGCCCAATTGGCCCTGTTTTTCCTCTGCAGGTCTATGGCAGAGGCACAGGCCTTTTCCTATATTGATGATTATAGGAGAGTAAGCAGAGAACTCAAGAGTTAAAGGTTTGTCCAGGGCCTGTATAAATAATGGATTAATAGCTGTGCAGTGGTGGTACACTCTTTTAATCCAAGCACTTGGGTAGCAGAGGCAGGATGATCTCTATGAGTTTGAGGCCAGCCTGATATACAGAGTGAGTTCCAGGACAGCCAAGGCTATACAGAGAAACCCTGTCTTGAAAAATAGAAACAACAACAAGTAATGGATTAATGATGTGAAAGAGAAAAAGGACCTGGTTTTTTGTTTTTTTTTTTTTGGTTTTTTGAGACAGGGTTTCTCTGTGTAGCTTTGCGCCTTTCCTGGAACTCACTTGGTAGCCCAGGCTGGCCTCGAACTCACAGCAATCCGCCTGGCTCTGCCTCCCGAATGCTGGGATTAAAGGCGTGCGCCACCACCGCCCGGCAGGACCTGGTTTTAAAGTGACATTTGTATAATATGGCAACCATGAATAGGCAGTGACAACAAGTTTGTGTCCTTTATTTAAAAGTGCTGGCAAGTGGTCACCTGTGCACATTTGGAGAAGCGATGGCACCAGCACCGTGGTAGAAGAATCCTGCCTCTGGGCAATCCTAGCTTCTATAGCCTCCCCCCCGCCAGCACCCTTCCCTCAGCAAGACTCTGGCAAGTAGGATTGAGTGGCCTGAATTCAGGGTGGAGAGCTCAGAGATCAGTGCATTGGTGATGGTGGATGGCCTCAGCAGGTAGTAAAGATGAGAGATAGCCAGATCAAGCTAAGAATTGTGATACCACACAGTATTAGACTGTTGCAGAAATTGAACCAGTTTGCCTTCCAGTCAGCTTACGATAAATTCAACAAGGATATGCAGAAGTTGGCAAACTATCAAAACTTGCCTATTTTGATGAAATAGTGTAGGTGTGGTGTGCTGCTGGGAGACCATTTGCAGAATAAGAAGACTTTACATCATGACATAGCATGTCTTGCAACTTACTAAAGACCAGGAGTAGGAACTAAAATGTTACACCCTGTCCTAAACATCTGTGAGAAATGTGGCACTTTTGATAGGAACAGATCATCAGGGAGAGATTCTCCAGGAAGTTGGCTTTGAGATTATTGAGACAAGAACAACTACCACAAGAAGACAGAGCCTTCGGTGCTCATGTGCTTAGAAAATTGAAAGTCTCTTCTGGATGGGATGAAGATTCATGAAAGACCTCAAACAACTGAACAAATTACATTTTTCCCCCCTTGCTAGTGGCCAAATAAATGAGAAACCGTTGATTATCCGCACTGCAGCTCTTTTCCTCTCCTGGTTTTGTTTGTTCTGCTTCTGTTCCTCTTAAGGTTTTGCACTGCAGCTCTTTTCCTCTCCTGGTTTTGTTTGTTCTGCTTCTGTTCCTCTTAAGGTTTTGATACTTTCAGGGACTTTTTAAATAATAAAAGTCATGGCTTTTAACTGACCTGAAGAAATTGATTACTAGTTTCTTTTTTTTTTCAGTACATCAAATATAATATAACCTTAAAAATGGAGTTATATCCTTATAGATTAATATATCCCTAAATAAACCTGATGCAGGTGTTTTCTCTTGGGCATATGAGAAAATACATTTAAAAAAAGTAGATGGACTTGTGGCACAATACTTGTGTTTAATGTCAACTATTACAAGTTGTTAATCATGTGGCCACGCATTTGATAATATATGAAATCTCTAGACACTGTTTTTGAAACACAACTTAGCTAATGGTATTGCTTATCTATTGGAGAACATCCCAGATTTGATTACATTCTGAACCTATAATACTTAGATTAAAGATTTGGAATAAATGGAATTATTCAATATTCCCTCTATTCTTGGAAAGTTAGAAGTATAGGTGTTAATATAAATATCACTATGACTTCCTACTTACAGGTCTGGTTTATGCCAGATCATTTTCAGGCTCTTAGGGGATAGCTCTGACAGGTTGATAACTTTGTAATGTAAGAGACGTGAAATGCTCATGTTTTCCTTATATTGTTTCATTGCTAATACTTGAATATTTTTAGATTGTCAGAAGTCATCATTAGCTCATGAAATGTTTGCATTAGATTTTAAAGCAGTATAGAGAGTATATATTTTTTTCTCTCATTGGACTTTTTAAGGGAAATTTGATTTATCCTTTTATATAAAATTATATAAAAGTCTTGTTGGAAAATAGATTAAATGATAAAAGAGTTTTGTGAATACTTTATAATATTAATCTTTTCTTTGAAAACATGAAAGAACAAAATAAAGTGGACTTCAACAGTTTTAACTGAGTGCCAAGAATATTTAAAAGCAACATTGTTGATTAATGTATTTATAGAATTTAATAAATGAGGAAGTGAAAACATAGAAAGAACAGGCTGGTATTTTAGGTATTAGTTTCTTAGTCCAAATCTGAGCTTAAGAGAAAAGTTTGGTATTAAGCACCTTTATTTGCTAAGAGAAGAGGGCTTAAGTGACCAAGGGCATAATTAGTTTGTATAAGTCAGTCATTTTGTGAACTTGTAGATAAGAAAACAGATTTTTGATATATTACTGAGTTTTCTGCCATGGCACTACCTCTCTAGTTCTATAACCATTTCGTTTAGCCTGAGCACACTTAAGACTGTGCCTAAGTGTGAATACCGAATAGCTACCTTACAACATGCTATTTAAAGAGGAGGAAAACTACAGTTTGAATCAAGTGTGTAGGCTTTTTGTCATTATGGCCCTTTCCCACACCAGTCAGTGATACAGTGTGGTACAGGGTCAATTGTTCTGTATCACATTTGAGAAAACTATTCTATCCACGTTGATTAAAGGAAGATATAGAAGGGGTAGAAGCTGGGTATTTTACGGCCTCTATATGCCTATGAGTCAGTAAAGACTAAAAGATTGTCCTAGCTGGAGTTTGTTTTATATGTGAAAAAACAAAACAAAACAAAAACCCTTTGAGGTATAACAGTAATTCTGTTACCAGAGGATATCCAACTGTATCCATCACTTTTCAGGACAGGTTTGCTATGGACTAGAGAGATGGAAATTGTTTGTAGGTTGAAATTATTATGTTACTTTTATTTAGAGTCTAAGAAAAGAATCTATACATTGCAGATTCCTCTACAGATTCTTTTCTGCAATGTATAGGTTGTCAAGGTCAGATTCCATTTGGGGAAAGGGGTTCTAAGTATCTTTAGAGTGTTTACTCATTCATTGAAAGTTCTCCAAAAAGAGAAAGAACTATTGCAAAAAGATGGTGTGTCGTGGTGGAAAGAAAAACTCAGTTCTTGGAGGGAATAACTACAAATGCTTAAATCGCTGTTTACTTGGTATGGTTTCTTAACTTACTCTTTTTTTTTTCTTTTTATTATTTTTAATTAATTTTTTTCACACACTATATTGATCATATTTTCCCTCTTCCCCAACTCCTTCCAGATCTTCCCCACATCCCTACCCACTCAACTTTATGTTCCCTCTCTTGCACATTCTCTTCTTCTCTCTCTCCATAAAGCAAGCAAACAAACAAAAAAAACCAAGAAACATCTTCTCACACAAAAAGCAAACAAGCAAAAGACCAGCAATGCCAAAAATGTCAAAATAAAGCAAAATGAAACAAAAATACAATTGAGTTTATTTTGTGTTGATCACCTACTACTGGGCATTGGGCCTGCCTGGGAGTGTGGTTGATAAACCCAATGACACTCCATTGGAGACAACTGATTTTCCCCTGGCCAACAGATACTAATTGCAGATAGCTTCTTGGTAAGGGGTGGGACCCTATTTCACTTCCATCTCTCAGTGCTGGAGCCCCATCTGGCTTGAAACTGTTCAGGTCTTACTTGTTCTGAACTCTCTTCTGAGTTTATATGTGCATTAGTCCTGTTATGTATGGAGGACAGTTTCCTTGGAGTCATTCACCACCACCTTTGGCTCTTACAATGTTTCTGCCTCCTTTTTAGCATAGATCCCTGAACCTTGGGGAGGGTTTGATGCAGACATCCCATTTAGGACTCAGTGCTCCAGTCTCTCACTCTGCACATTGTCTGGTTGTGGGTCTGTTAATATCCACTGACCAAAAGAAGCTTCTCTGGTGAGTACTGAGTGAAGCACTGACTCATGGGTATAGCGGTATGTCTTTAGGAGTAATTTTTTTTATTTTTTTTTATTTATTTTTTTTTTTTTTGGCTGTATTCCTGTAGCAGAATATAGTAGGTTTTCTCCTTGGTCCATGATCTATCGAGTCTTAGGTCCTTGGTCACTTTAGCAGTGTCAGGTATGGGCTGCATCTCCTGGAGTGGGCCTTAAATCCAGCCAGAACAGTTAGTCCCATAGCATTTGCCCACTATTGCACCAGTACATCTTGTAGGCAGGTCACTGTTGGAGGCCACAGGGTTTGTAGCTGTGTGATGTTGATGATTATATTTCTCTGATAGCGTTCATAGTACCTTCCAGAACCATGAGTGTTAGTCAGTTGGGGTGAACCTTCTAGTTGGGCACCAGCTCAACTTTTCTGTGTTCAATGATGTAAGTGTTGTCTTCATCAATAGGGCCTTACCACAAGGTTGTGAAGAGCAATTAGCTACCTTGGCAATAGCCTCTGATGTTTGTGTCATGGGCCCTCTTTGACCAAGTACTCAACAAGCTGTAACCCATTCCCCAACACTGTAGGTTTTACTTGATATCGTAAGATTTCTAGTTGGGTCATTGTCTCCCCAGTATATAGTTAACTCCATTTAATTTCATTTTGTGTATGTATTTAGGAAACTTGCAGTGGTAGATTTACATAAGATTTTTTAAAACGTCCTTAGTGTTGACTTTCCCTCCCTATATCCCCTCCTTTACTCTTCTCTCCTATCCCCCCCCATGTAATCCTCCTCGTCTAGTTTCCCCCTTTATCTCTCCATAACACTATATTCAATTGTCCTTCCTTGGGAGATCTCCTCACCACAGTCCTTTTGGATAAAGCTGTAAACAGCCTGCAGAATGGGAAAAAAAAAAAGTCTACTAATTATATACTTGATGGAATGTTAGTATCTAGAGTATATAAAGAACTAAGAAAACTGAACATCAAGAAAACAGCCAAGTTAAAAATGGTGTACAGAACTAAGCAGAGAGTTCTCAAAAGATGAAACGTGATTAGTTGACAGTTAAAGAAATTAGCCATCAGAAATTCAAATTAAAACTGCCTTGAGATTTTCTCTTATACCTGTCAGAATGGCCACAATCAATAAAACAAATAACAGCTCATGCTGGATGTGGATAGAGTAAGGGGAATACTCATCCATTGCTGTGGGAGTGCAAACTTCTACAACCACGTTGGAAATAAATATGGCAGTTCCTCAGGAAGCTAGAAATAGATCTCACAAGATCCACCTATATCACTCTTGAGATATATCCAAAGGATTCTACATCCTACTATAGATAGACTTGCTCATCCATGTTCATTGCTGCTCCATTCATAATTCCCAGAAACTGGAAACAGCCTAGATATCCATCATCTGATGACCAAAATTCCATTACACAATGGAATATTATTCACCTGTTAAGAAAAATGAAATTTGCAAGGAAATGGACAGAGCTAGAAAAAAATCATTCCAAGTAAGGTAATCCAGAACCAGAAAGGCAAACATTGTGCATTTTTGTTATGTGGATACTAGCTTTTCACCTTTCAATATATGTGCTGTAGTCACTTACTAAATGGCTCAGCAGTTAAGAGTACTTGTTCTTTCAGAAGGCCTGAGTTTGCTTCCCTGAACCCACATTAGGCATCTCTTAGCCACATGTAACTCCAGTTCTAGGGGGATTCTGGACACAGACACAGAAAACAAGTGTGTGTGTGTGTGTGTGTGTGTGTGTGTGTGTGTGTGTGTGTGTGTGTGTAAAAAGATACTTCTATTTTAGTATTGCTGTTACCTCTGAAGCAGTTTCTCTCTACGAGCAAGGTTAATGGAGACCTGGACACACGCTTCCCATTGTGACCAAAGGTGAAAGTCCAGTCATCCATATAGGCCCAGGCATTGTGCCACCTGCCCCTCAGCTGCGGCATGGTGAGGAATGTGGAATCCAGGAGGCCTGGACACCATGTCCCCAAGACTGCTTTCACACCGAGTGCAAAATTTTATATTCCTCTCAGTTACTTCACATCTTCCACGTAACATTGCCATGGTTATGTTGGTGTATGCATGCAGCTGGATATGGGTGGCGACTCCTGTGGCTTTGGTTTACACTTTCCAGTGCATCCTGCTGACTGGGTGGTTGCTCCAAGCCTTTGGTGTATACTGACTGCATCCTGCTGGGTGTGGAGCAGTGACTCACTTAGCTTTGGTTTACACTGCCCAATACATGCTGCTGGGTATGGGCTGGCTACTTTGCAGATTTGGCTTACACTGCCTGATACACCCTTCAGGGTATGGGTGGTGACTCCAGTACCTTGGCTTTACACTGCCTGATGTTTACTGTTGCACACCTCACCATCCTCAGATCTTTACTGGGGAAATGGCTGCTCTGACCTCTGATCTGTTTTTCTTACACATTGGTACTTTATGTTTTGCTAAGTTGTCAGACTTCTTCAAGGCAGGGTTAGTTCTATTTCAATATTGCTCATGTTCCTCGGTCGCCTCTTGTGTATCTTTGCTCTAAGAGTTTCTGAAATTGTTAGTCTGACTCCTTTCCACTCTGGAGTCCAATCTTGCTGCTCCCAGCCTCCCACCTCCCAGAACTACATGACTCTGGTCTCTGTTTTATGTTAGTGACTCCATGTGAGTATCTGCCCATCTTTACTAAGTTGTAAGAACAGACACTGAAAGACAGTTTGGTACTGAACATGTCCAGACAGACAAACAGGTGGGTGGATGGCAATTCAAATAGGCTTCATCAGCAGTGAGGACTGAACCAAGTCCCTGAGACAGTCAGGTAGTCTCTGTTGGTCCCTAGTGTACACATTAGGTGATCATATGATAGGTTGGTAGGTGGTTGCCATCCATCACAGTGCTGTGTTCTCTTTGTGTGGTCCATGTGAGGATGTTACACTCCTTCATTTGGTGTGTTCAATAAATTCTCGGGCTTAGTTTTCCTGGTATGTCTTTGGTACACCCATGTGCTCATATG